GACCCCACGGCGGTGACACCGGTCCCTACAGCCCAGTGACACCACACAGTGACACCAGTCCCTATAGCCAGATGTGACCCCACTGCGGTGACATCGGTCTCTACAGCCCAGTGACCCCACGGCAGTGACACAGGTCCCTGTAGCCAGGGGGCACCCCACGCAGTGACACCAGTCCCTACAGCTGGGGTGACCCCGTGGCAGTGATGTGGGTCCCTATAGCCAGAGGTGACACCACTGTGGTGACACCAGTCCCTACAGCTGGGGTGACTCCATGGTGGTGACATGGGTCCCTACAGCCCAGTGACCCCACGCAGTGACACCGGTCCCTATAGCTCTGGTGAGCCCATGGTGGTGACACCAGTCCCTATAGCCAGGGTGACCCCATGCAGTGACATGGGTCTCCATAGCCAGGGGGCGACCCCCCAGCGGTGACACCAGATCCTACAGCCCGGTGACCCCACAGCAATGACACTGGTCCCTATAGCCGGGGGGGACCCCATGGCAGTGACACTGGTCCCTATAGTCCAGTGACCCCACACAGTGACACTGGTCCCTATAGCTGGGGTGACCCCACGGCAGTGACGCGGGTCCCTATAGCCAGGGGAGACCCCACGCAGTGACACCAGTCCCTATAGCCTGGTAACCCCATGGAGGTGACACCGGTCCCTATAGCCAGGGGTGACTGCACGCAGTGATGCAGGTCCCTATAATGGGGGTGACCCCACGCAGTGACACCAGTCCCTATAACCGGGGTGACCCCATGGCAGTGACACCAGTCCCTATAGCCTGGTAACCCCATGGTGGTGACATCAGTCCCTATAGCCGGGGGGTGACTGCACGCAGTGACGCGGGTCCCTATAGCCCGGTGACCCCAGTGCAGTGACGCAGGTTCCTGTAGCCAGGGGGGACCCCACACAGTGACACCAGTCCCTATAGCCGGGGGGGACCCCACGGTGGTGACACTGGTCCCCACAGCCCAGTGACCCCACACAGCCCAGTGACTGGTGTCAACTGGTCCCTACACCCCACTGACCCCAGGTAGTGACACCGGTCCCTATAGCCCAGTGACCCCATGGCAGTGATGTGGGTCCCTATAGCCAGGGGGGACCCCACACAGTGACACCAGTCCCTATAGCCGGGGGGAACCCCACGGTGGTGACACCGGTCCCTACAGCTCAGTGACACCACACAGTGACACCGGTCCCTATAGCCAGGGGGGACCCCACGGTGGTGACACCGGTCCCTATAGCCAGGGGGGACCCCAC